ATCTATCTATCCATCCATCCATCCATCCATCCATCCATCCATCCATCCATCTATCTATCTATCTATCTATCTATCTATCTATCTATCTACCTACCTACCTATCTATCTATCTATCTATCTATCTATCTATCTATCTATCTATCTATCTATATTTCCTGTGTGTGTGTGTGTGTGTGTGTGTGTGTGTGTGTGTGTGTGTGTGTGTGTGTTCCAAATGTCCCTAAAGGCTAGCGTTTAGAATGCTTGCTCCTCGGCTTTTGACACTATTTTGGGAGTCTATGAAACATTTGGGAGAAGTGACCTAGAAGACAGGAGTAGGCCACTGTGGGTAGACCTTGACATTTATACCTGGCTATGACGTGAAGAGTTGCCACTATGACCTCACCAAGCATTCCTGGGATGATAAATTGAAACCCTCTTTAACCAGGAGCCAAAATACATCTTTTTTCCTTCCTTCAATCTTTCCTGCGAACTATTGTACTCACAGCAATACAGAAGAACTAACACAACCCACACACGCACCATACACTGCTTCCAGTGCCCTCCATGCTATGACACCACCAGGTAGAGAGACTTCAACACACTGGACCAAAATCCACCTTCCAACCAATGCTGTGGTCCAGGACAGAGTGGAACTGCCAGAAGTCAGGGACCATGGAGCAAGGAAAAGTCTTCACTGAGTCCAGGGAGCAGCCTAAGGTGACCATCACCCTGGAACTATTCTCCTGAGAAGAGCAGTAAGCCCAGCAAGACAAAAGGCAATACCATGTCTGAACCCAACAATTATGTCTATACTATGGCTTTCCCAGAAACCCAAAAAAGAAACCGGTCACTTGCTCCTGAGAATACCTATACGATTACAGTTTTCCTGCAAAATGAGATGATTCCATCCCTGGCTAAGATGGAGCAGAATGGGGAGCATTGAGCAAACAAATAGCAAGTAAATACAAATACAGCTAAAGGTATTCAAAAGGGAGGATGGCAGAGCATGGTAGTGGGTAGCTAGCCATATTGGCACTGCCTCCCACAAGCACTGGGCGCCCACAATGGGCTCTAACTTCCCTTCAGCCTTCCTACACCCATTTATTACTTTCCCGGTCTGACTCATACCTTTCTCTCCATTAGTGGCTTAAACAGGGTTTGGTATTAGGGGATCAGCCTGCAGATTTCTCAGTGAGTGCTGTATATTACTAACCTTTATATATAGAGACAAGCAGCATTTCACAGTAGCCGTCTGTGTGCAACAGGAAACATCCTAACTGCACTCCCAAAGGTTTGGGTCTATTCATTTCACCTAAAGACATAGAATATATTGATGGAAAAAAAACTAACTCAAGGTGTTAGGTGATATATATATATATATATATATATATATATATATATATATATATATATATATATATATATATATATATATATATATATGATTTCAAAAACACATATGTTTGAGAATCTTTGGTCTTGAAATGCCAGTCAGAGTTCTTAATGGCTAACAGGATGAAGTGGGACAGAGGAGATGAAATTTGCCTTAAGGGTAACTAACTTTGGAAGGATAACACATCTACTTTCAATATCAGGAGACACCTGTTCTAGACATCAAAGGGGTCCTGAGCCTTCATATTCCTCCCCAGAGGACACCTGAGAAGCCAAGCAAAGAATCCACGCACTCTTCACTTGTTATTGTTTGCTGCCCTGAGCACAAAATAGATCATCAACAAGACTCGAGGCTTTAAGTAACTACCTCATAAGTGGATTCAGCTCTGAACCTGGGATTCCTATTTGCTTCTTCATTTCCAATGATTTAATTTCTCGAGAATCAAATTATGGTTTTTTGAGTTCTTCCAAATTAAATGAAGAGTAAATAAAAAGGCCTTAGACAAAAATGGAGTAATTTTATTAGGAATATGATAAATGTGATAGGTTGCAGTAGCCCGAAAATGCCATTATAGGCAATTAAGAAGCTACATTAATGTAATTGTAGACTTCCTAGCATTTTAGCCGAGCACATACAGTATTTACAGATAATTGAATAGTAAGGGGAGAAATGCAAGCTGTGAGTCTGCCATGCACGTGACTAACATTGTCAAATTAAAACCTGGCTGGGTTTCTCTTTGAGTTATTAGCTTTTAAAAGGGCTTAATTTTATCTTTTCAAGACTTGAAAAATACTGCAGCATGCACAGTGAAACATCTTCTGTTAAAAGCCACACCTGACACAGGGAAGTAAGAAACACCGTGACACACAGCAGTAGGCATTTGGGTAACACTCATTCCCAATCTGTGTCTGTTTGACTCCCATTTTACTGAACAAAGAATTCTAAAGCAAGTCATTGTTGTACATAGGGACAGAGGCATAGCTCAGAGGTAAAGAACTTGCTCCAATATAGAGAAAAGAAACGCACACACACAATATACATACATACATACATACATACATACATACATACACATATACACATATATACACATACACACAAATATATGTATACATAATCTATGTATATATTTATGTACACACATCTTATAGTTAGGACAAAAACTTATTTTTACATTTGTAAGTTCCCTGATACATGCATTTCTTACATGAAATGGTACTAAAAATACAGAAGAATCAATGAAAAAAGATCTAATAGAAAAGAATGCTCAAATTAGTTGGAAAAAAATCTGAGTTCACACTCCACTGTGTGGATATGATTACATAATCTCAAAATAAAAGCAACCTCTCTAGATCTGTGTTCTTAATTATTAAATTCAGAGGTTGAGTTTACTCAGCCACGAGGCTCTTTGGTGTAGAGAGGGTCTCTCACCACTGAGGCAGCCTCATAGGATAAATATTTCTCAGTCATCAGTTTGTGTCATTTGAATAAAAATCCTTTATTTTTTCATTTTAATGCACTGTCTTTGGGGGGAACTTTAGATTCACAACAAAACTGAGCAGAAGATAGCAAGATGTCCCTTAGATCCCCTGCTCCCACAGAGGCATAGCTTCCCCTACGACATAGGGCCCCTGTGGTGGTTTGGATGGGGATGTCTTGTGTAGACACATATTGGAACACTTGGACCTCAGTTGGTAGTTCTGTTTGGGGAGATTGTGGAACTTCAGGAGGAGGTTGTGAAGCTGTGATGGAGAGATTACATCACTAGGGAGGGCTTTGAACGCTTCTATTCTTATCCCACTTGTAGTTTGTTCTTCCTGCTTCCTGTGTACGGTTGAGATGTGATCTCTCGGTACTGGACTGACTGCCGCTTGCCACGCCTTCCCTCCGTGGTTGTAAGCCAAGAAAACCTCTTTCTTTTTCAGTTGGTTTTGGTAATGATATTTTAATCACAGCTACAGAACAGTAACTAATAAACCTCATATCTACACCCTCCACCACAGTGCCACTTTTGGTAATACAGATAGCCTCACACTGAGAGCTCATCACGGGGAGTCCACAGCTAACATTCACTTTTGATGGCTCATGGTCAGTGGGTTTAGACACATACACAATGAATATATCATGTAGTATTTTCACTGTCCTGAAGATACGCTATGTTCTGCCCATTTATCCCTGCCCCCTCTCCTAGGCCCTAGCAACCACTAAAAATTTGACTGATTCTCTATTACTTGGCCTTTTCTAAAATGTCATATAGTTACTTTTATCCATTCACTTAATGAAAGGTAGCCTTGTTCATTCCAACTCTGGAAAATTAAACTAAATATAAATAATAATTTATAATAAATTATTATATTTATTATATGGTTTTATTAAATAAAACTAATATAAATACCCATGTGTATGCTTTTGTGGATCTAAGATTTTTTTAACTTTACTTATTTTTTTTATTTTTTTTTAGATTTCTTTATTCTTATGTCCATTGGTGTTTTGCCTGCATTGGTATGTGAGGGTGCCAGATCCCCTGGAACTGGAATTACAGACAGTTGTGAGGAGCTTCCCTGTGGGTTCTGGGAATTGAATCTGGGTCCTCCGAGAGAACAGCCAGTGGGGTGTCTGTGTGTGTGTGTGTGTGTGTGTGTGTGTGTGCACATGTTTTGTATATATCTATATATGTTCATGAATGTGCAGTATCCATAGAGAAGGTACTAGATCCCTTACATTTGGAACTACAGGCATTTGTGAGCCACACAACATGGCCCTGAAATCTGAACTCCAGTCCTCATGATTGGGCAATGCTCTTAACCACTG